ATCTAACTCGACAGTCACAGAAGGGGACACAGTTGAACACTCTAAAGCCACAATTACAAATATAAACATGGATGTTAAAGTCACGTTTCAAATCCAGGACCAGTGGTCGGATAGGCACTACTGATGAGCTCTGATAGAAGCAAAACGCAATTCTAGTGCTTATGTGAGTGCATGGACAACTGAATGAAGATTAAACCTGAAGGTGGTAAGTCTCAACCAAAATTAGGAATATTAAGAAGCAGAACCGGTTAATTCACCGGACTCGAATTTCATGCGAACTGTGGTAGAGCAGAAAATCTCACCTGGAGGTCAGACCGACCGTCTCACTGGCAACGAACAGCGGTTCGCCGGACGCCTCTTCACTGATACATGGTCCGGATGATTGCATTCGAGGATAGGAAAATCGATGGGACGCACTGGCTGGACTGGGACTCGGTTCACTGATTGCTGAAGTACGACGGCGGAGCCGTCGCACTCCAAAGAATGCCATGACACCTTCCACTGTGTCATTTCGCTCCTCATTTTCCGGCGAGCAAACGTGAGGTGTGGAATCGTCCGGATCGGACGTGGATTCTGGTGTTGTAGGATTCCTAGAAGGATGCCATGGACGCTGACAGTTATAGCAAAATGAACGACCGTGACACTCCGGTCGTAGACAGTAGAGGCGCGGGCACGCTTTGAAGCCATGGGCAATCAATCCGTNAATCCGTAACTGAAGAACAGATGAGCAAAAAATCACTAACCAAGTTAATAGATCGATCTGGCTCCCAAGTGACAATAGCATAAATTGATAGTGACCTTAAGATCAGAAAATTCTCAGAAACAGCACAGTACACAGATCTAATGGTAGTAGTTAGGATTTTTGGTACGTGTAAAGTACCGTGACCATAAGTTCCACAAATGCTCACGCTGATTATGGATCAGTTCAGTTCCGATGAGTTCCCAGCAAAACCTGTCGTAGCAGTCAGCTTAAACGCTAGCTGGTGTATGTCATATACCTCTATAAGTTGGATGGGTGAATTGAATGTGAAATGGTCAGTGCTGTCGTTGTGGCCTTGTAGCTCAGCTGATAGAGCGTGTGGTGTACACTACAAAAGAGTAGTCAGCGTCCATGCGTGGGTTCGAATCCCACCGAGGTTACTGAACTTTTCGCATGAGACTTGAATCTGCTAAACAACAATTTGAACAGATCAGTTTAGATTGTTAAGCCGTCAACCATGCACTTTCGTGCGCCGGTTTTGATTGCTCTATTTTGGTTGCCCATCAGGATGGAGAGGAGGAGACAGGAAAGTTGAAAGTAGAGTCGAACATAAAATGGAGAAGTTCAGTGATGTAAGTTTACAAACAAATTGAGAAGATGCAAGAACACCACTGTTTACAACATACAACCACATCATTCAGTGTCTCTAACCATCGGGTACAATCATCCCGAGGTCCCCAGCCAGGGAGCCTAAAGGGACTTATGTAACCCAGACTCCTGGTCAGGGTTTTCATACCCTCATGCCACCCTTGACTTTCTTGCATCCACCACTTGCCTCGGCGAACACCGCTCGCTGTGGCAACCTATTCGGTGACATGTGTAACACATACCCCAACCGACATAACCTATGGAGGTCGAACTCTTGCTCCAGTGGGCGACCGCGGATACCCAAAACCCCGCGCCTAAACTCCGAATTGTTCTTTTGTAGCTTATAGCGATGTGGTCGATCTGCGTCCGAGGAGGGCGAACGCCAAGCGGCGTACCGGCAGTTAGGTCGTCTGAAGTTCGTACTAGCGAGGAATAGGCGGTGGTAAGAACAAAGAGTCAAGAGCCGTTCCCCGTTTTCCGACCGACAGGAATCTAGTCCGAAAGGACCACCCGGATGCGCCGGGTCAACCTCGGCTACTATGCTTGCGCTCTCAACCAGTCTCGGCGTCCGCTCCAGCATTTTTCTCTAACGCACTGGTAAAAATCACCGTGAATAAGATCCCCGTCGAAACTCTAATAGACACCGGAAGTTCCGAAAGCCATATTTCTGAATCTTTCGTAAACCGACACCATCTGAAAGTTAGGCAGTCATCTAGCACAATCTGGATGGCATCCACGAGATTGGTTAGTCACCCGAAAGGTCACTGCCTAGTCGCCATAGACCTCAGGAACAATTCATACGATAATTTCAAACTCTCAGTCCCTCCACATTTGTGTGCCGATGTATTACTGGGACATGATTTTTTGAAACTCCACAGAGCAGTTGAAATCCCGTTCAGGGGTAACAGATTCTCTCTTTCTCTTTGTAACGTAACTGCTTCACGCATCCAGCCACCATCTCTCTTCGGGAACTTGCTGCCGGATTGTAAACCCATTGCAACCAAATCACGCCGCCACACTCCTGATGACGAGAAATTTATTCGATC